AACCAAATCTTAAATGATGCAATTACTCTAGAAGATAAATATGTATATACCAGAGATATTGAAAGAAGACTGTCGTTGGCCAAGCGTAACAACAGGAAGCTCCCCTTGAACCAGAGAGTCTAATACTGCTTGCTTGCCCACTCTGTCTAGGGATTCAAATGACATCTTCCTTCCCATTCCCTCATTTTTAAGTGGCACACTGTTCCAATTTTTAGTGTCATTTGTGTCCTTGTTCATAGGAAACATATTATTGAAGGCTTGAGCTTCATTCTGAGTGGACCGCCCACCATCGATAATTCCAGAAAGCAAGGAACTATTACGGTGCAATGGTCCCATATTATTCCTATCTCCTGGCATTCTGTTGACCTGTTCATCCGATAATGAACGAGCCCCAAAGGAAGATGAAGCATTTAGATTACCACCATGGCCTGAAAGGCCGCCAGGTGTTTGAATCTCTGGGGTAAGGCCTGATGGCGCCATCCTCTCACAAGTATCCCCAAGTTTCATGCTTAGTGACTCAGTAAATTGATGGCCGGGTCTCTGGTGGAGCAACTCCATAAAGAGCTGCTTTGACTTGTCGTTTGTAGATCCACCTACCATCCATGCGTTGGAATCATCACCCTGCCTCCTAATTTCAGACCTCATTTTATGATGTTCAATATCCACATTTGATCTACGAAATTGAGATTCAGCCCAGTCACCAGCTAGCTGTGTATCAGCTCCAGACCAGCGACCTTCAGTTGGTTCCAATTGTGAAAAATGTGGTTCACCTAATTGTATGCGGGGATTCTGATGGTTAAAACCCAGTGTGGAATTTCCCAATCTACCAGAAGATTGCATGTGGGGAGTAGCATCCCGCAACTCCAGACCTTGAGAGAGACCAAGACCATTTACTGCATCCAGATTCATCCCCGATGCTGATCGCTCAAATGGAAGACCGTGTTCGAATAATTCTTGTCGAAGTTGTTGCTGATATGAAAGGTTCCGCTCAAGTTGACCAAATTGATCCTCAAAGGGTGGCCTCTGCTGCTGTTGATGAAACTCTAATGGTCTAAATCCTGCAGAAGAGCGCGACCGGTGGATCCCAGAATGACTTCTTAGAAGCTGATCATTATGGTCAGACGGCCACAGAGGGTCAATATGTCTTTGTTCCTCCAATAATGTATCGTGCCTCACTCCATTAGCCAATTGCATAAGCTGCTCTTGCTGCAGTAGCTGGTACTCCAAAGACCGGATTGGATCAGATTGCAGTTGTCCATGTTGTGATTGCATTTGTCCATATTGAGATTGCTTTTGCGTTGAAAGTAGCTGTTCAAGTAACTCCCTTTGGTGGCCTTCATGTAACAACTGCCCAAAATTTCCTGCAGCAAGTTGCTCAATGTATGGTGCAAAATTTTGTGACGGATGGCCAGAACTGTTCTGCAATTCATTCATCAGCTGCTGCTCTAACAACATCTGATCAACATTATTGGACCGAAGGAAGTCATGTGACTGCCCAAACCTTGAATCCGGAGTCTGTCCTTGTAAAATCTGTTGAAAATGTAACTGTCGAGCATGGGACTGTTGTTGCTCCTGTAAGAGCTTCTGATGTAACTGATGTTCTTGTTGCAGCTGATGCTGTTGCAACTGAATCTTCTGCTGTTGTTGCAACTGAATTTTCTGCTGTAGTTGCAACTGAATCTTCTGCTGTTGTTGCAACTGAATTTTTTGTTGTTGCTGCAACTGGAAAGTTCTTAACTGCTCCAGATCCTGAGCTTGATCACCTATATGTAACTGTGATAGCATATCCCGATTCTGGAATTGCAGTTGCTGATGTTGATTTGATGTAAGTTGATCCCCATGGTTAAAGAAGTTGGACTCATGTTCAAACTGCGACATCCGGTTAGCAGCCAGACTATCAAGGGACATGCTGGGGTCAATTTGTGTATTTCTTCGGGAATTAATGAGACGGTTGTCTACTGAACCAGTAAGCTCCTCCATTGCACCATAAGACCTGTTTGATGACTGGTTAACTGGTGCACTACCACTCTCTAGCTCAGACCACAAAACACCAAACGGGTGCAGCTTATTCTCATTCTGATTACGTGTAGCAGCAGCCTTAGTTGATTCAACAGGAATAGCAGACTGGCCAGAAAATTCCATTAAAGCATCATGCATACTTGTCGAAGATTTTACCGACGATGCATAACCAGAACCTCCAGCTCTTCCTGGGAATACAATTTCTGATTTAGAAAAGAAGTACAAAAAAATTGATTAGAGACGATGAACACAAAAGAAATTAATACGATAAGAAAAGCTTCGAAACAAGTATATTAAACCCAAAGAAAGACATTTCTTCTCCCACCAATGCACACAAATGAGAAAAGGTTAACAGCATAACCAACCTTCATCCTGAGCAGAGAAGTTCAAGAAACTTCGATCCTCGGCATGTGGCGGTCTTACAAAATCTGACTCAGACTTTCTCTGAAAATTATCCTGAGCTGAGGAGTTGTTATACACAGAAAACGAACGAGACACACCAGTCATAGAGGATGAATCATCTGCTAGAGGTGCAATTGGTAAACCAGCCTCTGAATTTGCTTTTAAACTAGTCTCTTCTAACTCACTCATTTGGTCACTACTAGGGACATGAACACTTTCTGTCTTTAAATATGACATGACCCTGCCTAGATCTTGAAAAGGAGTGCCTTCTGGGGCATTTGCCAAACGAACTTGTAGGTCTGTCCCAAAAAACCCTTGTTCAAACCATGAAATAATGTCAGAACCAATGAACGGTCCCTGAATTACTCCTTGAGGATCAATATACAAGAACAAAAACTCCTCAGGTTGCATAGACCCTTCTGCGTGATTCACTTCAATATCTGGTTGCTGCAGCTTGCCTGTATAATCTTGCTCGAAAGAAGCTACAGCGGACTCGCTCCCATCCAACACAGAGGATTTACTAAAAGCAGATCTAACCGTTTCAGGACTTCCATGAGAAAGTTGACAACCATCTCTAACAGATCCATAACTTTCAGAAGCCACTGAATTCAATCTTGAGACGCTTGATGTACCTCCCAGACTACCAAGTAATCCTACAATAATAGTTATTCGCCTTTTATTCAGAATATATAGGACAATTAAAAATCCGGCAAACTCATTACAATACATGGTATTAAAGACCTAGTTAATAAGTATCACACACGTACCAGAATCATTATTATTGTCACCATTAACAACCCCTAGCAAAGTACCATCCAATTTTGTTTCACCTGAGTCAGGTATCCAAAAGACCACGGTCAGAATATTATGCTAGGTGAAAAGATAGAGGCCAAGCAGCTAAAGACAAAACAACATACCTAAGCTGTTTCTACCTGAGGATTCTTCTTCAGATGGAGTGTGAACTTCGCTACTAATGATTCTTCCCTTCCATATGCCGTTAAGACGTGCCTGATAGATAAGATACCCATCAACAAACTCAGGAAAAGCCAGTTACGAAAAAGAAATAAAGAATCAATGACACACTCATGAAAAGGGTAATAGAAGCCAGTTCTCAGTGCCAGTGGGGGCCATACCTCTTCTTCGGCATCAGGTGCAATAAAAGCAAGAGGATTGATTAAAGCCACTTGAGTAATGGAGGCAACTTCCTGCATCTCAGTCGGTATCCTACCTAGGGAAGAATCAGCCTTTTGTTTTCTATACATGTCAAGCAACTTACCCCTTGGATACCGAAACAGAGAGGCAGAAGTGCACTGGTCAACAGGAATACTTTCATTTCCTAAGAAAGTACATGCACCAGCACCAATTAAGGAGGTTGAAGAACCCCTCCCAACTGCAGATGCCCTTCCTCGGCCTACAGTGAACCCTAAATTTGGGCCGTCGGCTCGCCCTCTATCAAGTCCAAACCCAGGTGCAGCGCGATAAGAAGTCGGCCCACCAGCCTGGGATTCCAACCTATGACGTGGCCTCCATTTGTCACGAGGGTCAGAGTCCCGTTCAGAAGTTGCACGGATGGTGCTAACCACAGATTGACTATCACTAGGAGGCGCTTCCTTGTCCTTGTTGTTATCTACCTTCTCGATACGGGTTTCTTTCTCTTTGTCATCAGGACCCCAGCGAGATGACCATTTGTTGTCGCGCCGAGGTTCATGTGCAGCAGCACGAGAACTAACATCATGCCACCTATCAGAAGAAGGAGTAATTTTAGTGTCAGCAGTTTCTCTGCTTGAGACATTGTCGATGCGGCGTTCTGTTTTTCTGCGATCGGTCTTCCTGACACCGAGTAAACCAGTTTCTCTTTCCTCTTCACGCCATCTGCGACTAGTTTCGTTCTCAGGGACAATTTTCCTCCAGTCCTTTTTGTCTTCGGGGGCATCCAAGCGCCATGCATCCTTGAGATTTGGGTCGCTTGGATTTCCCGTGGGCACAGGAGTAGGAGATCGAACATCCTGCCACAGAGCAACAACATAAGATGAATGGACAATGGAAAATGCTAGAGAGAAACAGCAAAACTCATCTAAAACTTGATATTTTCTAGATACGAAGCATAGCATCTAACAAAGATCTTATGAGGAGATCAAAACAGGATAGCATCTTTGTTGGTATTACCATCTTGTTATCGTTTGACTTCGTGTAAAGCCACTGGGGAGACAAAGGAATGCTGTTATCTGAGGAGGCTAATTCTGCAGAAAAAAACAAATACAAGCTCTTGTGTCAATAGCTGAAGGAAGTCAAATAGATAACCCAAAAGTGCAGGAATCAGAGGCAAGAACAAATCATCGCTTCGTAATTCCAGATCCCAAAGTCAGGAATCGGCAACAAAAGAAGAATTACGTCTCTCAACATGAAGTTGGTAATGCATCTAAAAGCGGATTGATAAAGATAAATTGAAATCGTACAATACAACCCTAATCAGAGTTAGGTCAATTTGTGATAAATCTGATTTGAGATACAGGGCTGCCGCATCCTAGCCAATTCAGATCCATAAACCAAACGATAACATTTGTTTCTCCGCATTCAATTGGTACAGAGAGAGATAGAAATTCAAATTTACGAAATCCAAAAGAAGAAGACGAAGGAAGACGAGGATAGAGAGGCGGGAAGTACCTTTCAACTGATCGGAAGATTTAGAAAGGATGAGATCGTCAGGGAGATCGAACTTGCCGTCGGCCATGGCAGGATGGAAGAAACTACCGAGTTCGTAAGAAGATGAAGACGAACGCAGTAGAAGAAGAAACAACCGAGTTCGAGAGAAAGGGTTTTGGAGAGATTTGGCGGAGAAACTTTTATAATTGTCGATTTGCCTTTGGAAGAGAAGAGAAGAAAGCTTTTTGTTTCGCGGCTGAGATCGAGAGTGAGTGAAGGAGCAATAGAATGGAAAGGCTAAGGACGGCCTTTGCTTCTTTCTTTACAACACCGATCCGACTTTGCCCAGGTTCTGCTTTTTTTTTTTTTCTTTCTAAATTATCATTGTTTGTTTATTATTAATTTTATTACTTTGTATTAAGTTTATAATTTTTTCCTTATTGTTTTGTTCCAAATTTATTTCTACAAAACATTGCTACTTTAAAAGTTGAAATTTTAACTTTATAAAAATAGTTGTATTCAATAAAAATTACTTCATATAACATGGTTGAAATATAATTTTAGCTTTCGAACAAGATTTGGAGATAAGGCTGAACCTGTTATTTGTATTTATCTTATAATTATGTAGAAAACATAAACAAAAGAGAGATTTAAGTAATTTTCAGAAATGTCACACATCTAGTAGCTAAACCCAAATGTATAATTCGTTTGCGCTGCAACTAACTTCGACAAATTCTGGTTTTGAACCCACAGTGTAGTCTATAACAAATTTGTTGATGACAAAGCAATAAAAAGGAATACATTCAAATCCTATGTTTTGATTTGGTGTTGAAGCATGGTTGAGTGATCCTACTCACATTAATGGAGGGTGCTTCTTCTTTTGCTAAACCCGTTTCAGAATCAACATGTAAAAAAACAGTAACTCAACACAAGGTTCAAATATTATTATTTTTTGTAAATCAGGAAAAGACAGAGACTTGATGATCTACGATTCCTAAACTACGACCATGTTTCTAGCTTCTCCTCCGCCTTACTCGTTTTTCACAGCACTGTTACAGCTTTTTGCGTTGCTAGCTCCTGGCGGGTTTGGTGCATCCGACTCACCACACGCCCTAAGAACAGCCTCATTCTACAAGAAACTCCCAAAAACTATTAAATACAGTACTTGTGTTGACAAAAATACATGAGGGTTGAGTTAAGCTTTTTAAAATAAATTTGTGGATAATTAACAGACATGTTCGTTTGAGCTCAAAATCACCAACATACATGTTGATACATCGACAAGCTTTACCAAAAAAAGCATAACGCAAGCATACTGAGAGATGGACAAGCACATTTTCAGGAAAATTGAATTCCAAGTATGCAGACTCTAAATGTTTCTACTTTCTACATTGGTTCTTTTATAGATCAGTAAAGCCCATATACTCAATTCCTAGTTCGAGATTAAGAAGCCTAAGGCCTACAAAGAACGAAATCTTGAGCAGCATAAGTATACTTACTAACTACACAATTGGCCTTGTCATAACTCATTACAGCTAATCAAACCTGAGGTGACCGCATCACATAAAACTGAACAATGCCTGAAACCATTTGTGCAAATGAAACTCATCATTTTGAAATGAATCTACCAACATTTTCTCAAGAAACGTCAAACAAACACAGTCCTAATACTAATCAATCCTTGGAATGGAAAAAAAAAAGACATCGATCACGAATAATATAGACAAGGAAAAATGGGAGAAAGGTTTTGTTAGAACCCTAGAAGATGGGAAAAGGAGAGTACCTGCCAAACGCGACGGAGGCGGGTTTTGGCATTGGCTTTACGAGTAGGGGTAAGTTTGATTCGCTTCCAAAGAAGACCACCAGAATCGTGCTTCTTCACTATTTCCATCACCCGAGTTCCCCAAAACGCACCCATTCCCATTCCTCCTCCCATCGCCGCCTCTCTCTCTCTCTCTCACAAGAGGGAAGAGGCAAGCAAAGGCTTCTCTTAGATTAGTTTTCAGCTTTCCCTCGTTCAGCCCGTTATTTGTTAGCAGACTATAGGCCCATTTCATCTACGAGCTTAACAATTTTCTAAACGATAGAATTATCAAATTGTTTTTAATAGAAAAATATTTTTCTGTATTATATTAGTTGTTTTTTTTTCCTGTAAATATTATCCCATATTATAATTCCATTCGCAAAAAAATACCACATGATCGGGTTACTGGACAGTGATATTTAGTTTACATCATGATTGAAGATAAAAAGTATAAGGTCGACAATGTGAAGACAACAAAAAGAGTGGTAATACAGTATTATGATGAACGTGTACACGACAGTACATCCAACTTGGTACATGTACATCCTCGAGTAAATTGTTATCTACAAAAATAATCCACACCGAGGACTTCTAATGTTTTTTTAAGTGCTAGAAAAAGGCAACAACATAGTATGCTCTTATCTCAAGAATTAACTCTAAGGTGAAACCCAAGAAATACAACAGGACATATCTCTCTCTCTCTCTCGCTGATTTTACCAAGGTTTAAGGTCACCAGTCGGACCAGCAGTCCAGTTCAGTGCTTTCTCACCTGCCTTCAAGTATATGCCTTTGTCGTGGGGTAACTTCCTAGCTAACCCGTTAAGTATCTGATGGAACGCATCCCCTGGTTGTGCTGGTTGAGGGAAAAGCATGGCCTGTTTCATCGAAGGATTTGCGAGGAGTCTCTGTTTTCTGAGTATCACTTCTGTTGGTATTGAAGTTAGGATCGTGTCTAGCTCAGGGACATCTTTCTCCGCAACAAACACTCCTATTTCTTCCCAAGGGATGGCGTCTGCGAAAGGCAGTACTATGTCGTCCGCTATGATAACTGGAATGCACCCAAACACAACCGCTTCAACTAACCTCGGGCTCCATGGGGCCCAACCTAGAGGACATAGGCAGAAGATGGATCTTTGCATGTCTTCGTAGTATGTTGTCGGGTGATCTGTTGAGATGTCGAATAGAGGGTTGTTTTTGAAGTTCTCCCACACTGCTGCTCTTGCACCTCTATACAAAGAGAGAAGTTTCATTCAGCAAATTAAAATTGATCTTAGCTAATCTTATTTCTTAATGAGGAATGGTGAACTATAATCTTAGAAGGTAGGTCTTGATGTATATGTGCTTCTTTTATTTGGAGATATTACTGAGTTTTTTTGTAAGACGAGTGAAAACCCCATCAGTTTTACAAGTCTATAAAATGTATACCTTGCATAATAGCCACCTTCTGGGTCGTTGTTTACATCGTAGAACAAACCACGGAAGTAGACAAAGATAGAGCGTGGAATATCTGGAGGAATAAGATGGGCCTGCATCTTCTGTGGAGGTGCAAAAGGCGGAATAGTGATTGAGCCTTCGTCCAAACACACATGGTTCCTCTGTCCAAATGTCTGAACCAAAGTGGCACGCTGGAGTAGCGGAAGAATGCCCCTTTCAATTGCTTTTTCCTCCTGGTCAATGTCAACTAAATCTTCAGTTTCTATGTAACTAAGTATAAATGTGTTAATACAACAGCTAGTTTGAAGCCAATGATCATGTATCTTTGTTAGATCAATTACCGCCTAGCGGGTGTTCGCATTGGATCGCAATCACCAAAGTATTCAATGCATATAAACAAATTAAGTGTGTTCCTGAATGCAGATAAAACCTACCTGATAATGGAAGCAAGCTCCAAAATCATGGGGCACAACAAAGAAGTGATCAGCTCCTTCAGTACGATTCCAATAAGGCCAATTTGACGAGATAAGTTGTATAGCGCTTCTCATCATACGCGGAGATTTAAAAGGCAATGGCAAGCCGGTAGGAGTGAGATCGCAAGTAGGGTAAATTGGCGTGTAAAACCAATCAGCTTCATCGGGATTACGCGTTCGAACAGGACTAGATAAAAGGAACCTGTGCATAAAAATCTCGGCAGCAAACATGTGTGTAAGACATCGAGGGTCCTTCTGGAGCAATTTCTTGTTGTACTTGCTTGGGAGCTCGTACACATAAACCTTAAGCTTTCCCACTGGATTATCCTCTAAAACATCACCAGCGCTCCCTGCATTTCAAAAACCTCGTTGAGCTCTTACACAGCAAATCAAATTTCTTATACCATTATACATAAACCAATTTGAAAAGGGCACATACTGAACAAACCTCCCATTTCAAATTATTGGAGTAGAACTAGTGATTAATCGCAAACAAATTAAGTAATTGAACTCAAAATTCCAAATCTGCTGGACCAAAGAAGTACCTGAAATACGCTCTGTCCGAACATTTTGTTCAGCGGAAGAAGCGGAGAAGAAGAAGAGGAACAGAAGAATGGCGGAGAGGCCAGAAGAGGGATTCTTCATATCGGAAGGAGAAGTGTTGGGTCGGGTTGGATCCCAGAGAGAGGAAGGAAGAGGAAGCATATAAGGGAAGAGTATCGTTGGGAGGTCATGGGCGCAGTGGTTGACGAGTTTACTTCGGGATTAGGTTTTAGGGATTTTTTATTCATAAGGAAGATGCGAATGCGAATTTCTGAAAACGAAACACAGAGAAGATGGAAAACGAAATTGGGGGAAATAGCTTCAAGTCACAGACAAGTGGAATAAAGAAATTGCTTGTGTTGTACTTTCCCGTTCAACGACCAGAGACGGAAACTGGTTCACGACTTCACGTCACAAACGCGCGGTACCATTATGGGCTGAGGAAAAGTCCCTTAAAAGGCCTCATTGATATTGAGTGGCCCATTAGAGAACATATTCTACATTATTTGTTGTTACTGAAGAGGCTCTGTTTGTTTAAGTAAACGGTCTACACTGACAAGTGACAACAGTCAACTTGTCTGAAATTTCTATATGATAAATCAACAAAGATAATTTTATTTAACTTGGATGAAATTCGTATGAATTGGGTATCTATTGTTTAGTTGGTATTGACAGATTGGTGTATATGAAGAATAAAATAGAAAAGTCAATGGTTGAGTGACATGAATGAGTTAGGTTGGTTTAGACTTCAATAAGCATCATTGATCACGCGGCGTTTGTCAATTATTCCGTCTCAGTACATTGATTCCGTTTTTAAAGATCTCTCACTCAATCCCAAGTAAAATGCAAACAATAATAATTTCTTCTCCACTTGTATCTCATCGTCTCTCCCTTGCCCTTCCTGTCCCTCGCAGCCCTCTCATCAACTACCACCACGGTGCTCCTCCTTCGATCCGCCTCTCAAGTCACCGTTTCACCAACTCCCTCCGCCTCTTCTCCTCCGCCGGTAGACCCCACCCCCACCACCTCTCTTTTTTAATTGAACTTTTTGTTACTTTTGGGAAGAAGGATATTTTAATTGTATGCTTGGGTGGGGCAATTACGTCAAAGCGTGAAATGATTTTGGGATAAATTGGTCATTTTCAATCACACTGTTTCTCATTCGAGTCTTAGGTCTGTCTGTGTGTGTTTACAAATCTGACGCCGAGTCTTGTGCTAAAGCAGCAGCAGCAGCAGCGAGTCGGGACAGTGAAATGGCGACTGAAGATGTGCAAGATCCGAGAATCGCCAAGATCGCTGCTTCCATTAGAGTCATCCCCGACTTCCCTAAACCAGGTCTCCTGTTTTTCTTTTTTTCTAATGAGGGTTTTGTTACTTATAGCAACCATCGTCTCTTAGTCTTGATCTGAGTGTTGATCTTAAAGTTTTTGTTTCTCTGGATTGGATATATTTGCGCAGGGATCATGTTTCAGGACATAACGACGCTTCTTCTTGACACTGAGGCCTTCAAGGATACCATTGCTTTGTTTGTTGATAGATACAAAGGCAAAGACATATCTGTTGTTGCAGGTAACCTATGGCTCCTCTCTTTGATTGAATTCTGAGTGTGTTACTTGAAATCAAAGTTGATTTCCTTTGTATATTAATGAATTGGTGGATAGTTGTTCGTTTTTGACTAAATGGAGATGTTGTGGTTTGGTATATGCAGGAGTTGAAGCTAGAGGTTTCATTTTTGGCCCTCCTATTGCTTTGGCTATTGGTGCCAAATTTGTTCCCATGAGGAAGCCCAAGAAGCTACCTGGTATATTTTTTGTTTTTCTCTAGTGGCTTGCAGTTTTAATATCGAGTTACATTACATCAAAGTCTCAAATAGCCTAAGTTTACAATCCATTATCATCTCATAGTTGAGCATGGTGACATTTTATCTTGCTATTGTCTTTGATTATCTATGATTCGCCTCATTTGCTAGTTCATATTTATTTGTGGTAACTCCTATCCAGTAGTCTAAGTGTTTGTTGTTTTGTGTTACATATCGATTGACTAACTTGTTTATCTTGACCAAATACGAGAAAGGTGTTAAGTCATTTAGAAGCTTATTGAGCAACGCCAACAAATAATGGAATTCCTTGTTCTTTATTGTTATACATGGAAGTTGATTTCTAGAATGCCTGATGATATTTGGTTTCCTAATAGGGAAGGTTATTTCGGAGGAGTATTCGTTGGAGTATGGAACAGATAAGATTGAGATGCATGTAGGTGCAGTAGAGCCTGGTGAACGTGCTATTATTATAGATGATCTCATCGCCACTGGTGGGACTCTAGCTGCTGCAATCCGACTACTTGGTAAGTTGCAAGATTTGAGAAGTAGATCAATTTATCCTTTTGATAATGCAGCTTAAGTTACAAAATGTTTTATTAATACTTTGGCTATTTCTTTCTCATCTCTCACACTGGTTGTGGTGTTTGCAGAGCGAGTAGGCGTGAAGATTGTTGAGTGTGCTTGCGTAATTGAGTTACCAGAGCTTAAGGTTTAGCTTCGTTATCTCTCGTGATATACTATCTGATTCCAATCTCTCACACTGATTTACTAACAAAGAGATATGTTGCTGAAATGATTTTGAAGGGAAAGGAGAAATTAGGAGAGACGCCGCTATTTGTTCTTGTAAGCTCGGCGTAACAAGAAACCTAAAGGGGAAAATTATTGGATCAAGTGTTGATTCTATTTTTCATGTATGGTGAGACATTTTACTTGGGATTTGATCCATGTTGTTTCAAACTTATCATAATTGGCTCAGACTAGAAAATGGCATTTGAATGTCAGGATTCGATTGCAGTTACGGTTGTTCCCAGCAATAAAAACCCCAATTAATAAGGTGTTATGGGTTTTAATTTTATATAGAATCAAGTTTGTATTGGAGAAACTCGAGCAGGGGTTTTGGTAACTCAATTCTTCTCTTTAGTTTCACAGCACCTTGCATGGCCTTCAGTACAATTTGACAATATTATTATTCAGTTTACTACAAGACAGTATCTTAGAGCTACCATCTCAAAATTTAAATCATGGTATCTAATATATAAGAGATACCTCTCAATTTGTATCCAACAAAAAAAAAAAAAAAATCAATTCAATCTTGAATCTTGGTTGGAAAGAAAGAAATGAGTCATTCCCTCTCTATCTTTTTCAAAATTACTCATTTCTTTGGTTACTTGTCTCACTCCCCAAAATGATTACTTTTGTATTCTTTACGTTTCATATGTAACACGACAAAATATTAATTACTACTATAAGATAGATACTAGGGTATTTTGGGAATGTTTAAAGCATGCGCTAGTTGAAAACAGATAAAATGTGGACCAAAAATTCAAAATTACCTTAAAAAGATTAAAAAATAAAAAATAAAAAATAAAATAAATAATCACAGCGTGGGTAGCTGCGGCTGGGTGGCTTTGCTGCTTTCATTGACATGAACAACACAAACACATTGCAAAATGACAAGGACTCTTCATCGATTTCGGATCTTCTCTCTGAGTATATCGATTTAACTAAATTCGAGGGTTTTGGTTTTTAGCTAACAAGCCAACAAATCTCCAGTTAGTACTGATACTTCCTATCAAAATCTGTTTTCATGGCTGCTGCTGCTGCTATCTCCGTTTCCCGTTGTCGCTGATTGTGTTCTCCTTCCGCCATTTTCATGTAAGCTTCTTTCGTTTTGATTCCCTTAAGCTCGTTTCCACTATTGCTTTAGCGTTTGTGAAATCAACAACGCTAATTGTTGAGGTTAGAGGCAGCAAAAATCTATATAGGGTGAAGGATTTGTTGTTTGATTTCTTAGTAACATGTTTCTGTTTCTTTCCCATTTGTGAAGCTGATTGCAAAAGCAGCGTAGATCTGTGAATCTACTCGTCGCATTTCTGCGTTTGTGAGGAGACGATGTTGTGTGCTTGTTCAGGCGAACAGTTCCGGTTCGAGGACCAGCCGGGTTCGCCGGAATCCCTAGCTACAAGAGATTTCTCTGCTAGCGGACTTTCTTCTCGAACTGCAGGAGGCGATTGGGATTCCAAACTGGATGATATCCAAGTTGATGAAGCTGAATCGACTTTAAAGGAGGCTCTCTCACTCAACTATGAGGTGGGTTTAGCTACTGATGTATCAAATTTTCAGTGTTGTGGGTTTAACTGGAATCATCCTGATCTTGACTTTATTTTTTGTTCGATTGGTAGGAAGCAAGGGCATTGTTGGGGAGACTTGAATATCAGAGAGGTAATTTTGATGCAGCGCTTCAGGTGTTTAAGGGGATTGACATTAAGGTCTTAGCTCCGAGGATAATCAAAGCCATTGTAGAGAGAACTCGTCCATGTAAACCACGCTCCAAAGTTGTTGTTGTGCCTCCCAGCTCAATGTCAATGCATTCTGTCAGTTTACTTCTTGAAGCAATCTTGCTTAAAGCTAGATCACTTGAGGAACTCGGGCTTTACAAAGGTACGTATGGAATATTAACTGTATTGCTCTCCAGATTTGTTGCATCGGAATCTAGTCACAATGTTCTGCTGTTAATTGTGTTACCAGAGGCTGCGGACGAATGCAAAATAATCCTGGACGTGGTTGAATCTGCTTTGCCAAGTGGCATGCCTGATGGTATCAACGGATTCTCTAAACTGCAGGACATTTTTCAGAAGTCCCTCGAATTGCTTCCTTTACTATGGACAAAAGCAGGAAATCATCATGAAACTATTGCTTCTTATCGCCGTGCTTTATCCAGACCGTGGAATTTGGATCCCCAAAGGTTAGCTGTTACGCAGAAATCCTTAGCTTTAATTTTGCTTTACGGGAGTGTTGAGGCATGCCCAAAAGACAACATCGAGGAAGCAATTGTGCTACTAATGTTACTTGTAAAGAAGATGGTGGTTGGGGACATACAGTGGGATCCAGACCTCATGGATCATCTCACTTACGCTCTTTCGATGACTGGGCAGTTTGAAATGCTAGCAAACTATCTAGAGCAGACTCTTCCAGGTGTTTACACCCGTGGGGAGAGATGGTACCTTCTCTCCCTTTGTTACAGTTCTGCAGGGATCGATAAAGCAGCCATTAATCTATTAAAGATGGCCCTAGGCCCTTCTGAATCAAGACAGAAACCACACGTTCCTTGGTTATTGCTTGGCGCAAAGCTGTGCTCTAAAGATCCAAAACACTCGAAAGACGGCATAAATTTTGCTCATAGGCTGCTGGACTTGGCAAACAATCAGAGTGAACATCTGTTCAGCCAAGCACACAGGTTCCTCGGTATATGCTATGGAAACACTGCAAGAAGTTCCAAATTAGACTCTGAACGGGTGTTCCTTCAGAAGAAGTCTCTATTCTCTCTAAATGAAGCAGCAAAGAGGGCCAAGGATAATCCAGAACCGGACATTATATTTAACCTAAGCTTTGAGAATGCAGTTCAAAGAAATGTTCAGGCGGCTTTGGATGGTGCAGTTGAGTATTCTAGTATGGCTGGAGGAGGTTCAACTAGAGGATGGAAACATTTAGCTAGTGTCCTTTCAGCGGAGAAACGGCTCAAGGATGCTGAATCTATTCTGGACTTCACCATGGAAGAGGCTGGTGACATTGAAAAGTTAGAGCTTCTGAAGTTGAAAGCTGTGCTTCAGATGGCACAAAAACAACCTAAGCAGGCAATGAAGACATGCAGCAGCTTGCTGGGCCTAATCAGGGCGCAGGAGAAATCTGAACAATCCAAGGTACCTATTTTGGGTATCATAATATGAAAGGAACTTATTCTGTGAATTTTCGTGATATCTCTGAATAATCTTATATATTTCCAGATTTTGCTTAAGAAATTTGAAACGGAAGCTTGGCAAGAGCTGGCCTCTGTCTACGGAAAGCTAGGTTCTTGGTCAGATGCAGAAACGTGTCTCGACAAGGCAAGATCCATGTGCTATTATTCTCCCAGAGGCTGGAATGAAACAGGTATGGGGAAACGACATTAAGTTAAACGAACTCATAAACCACATTCATAATCGCATATATAACAAGCTCCATACATGTGCTTCTATGGTTGGGACAGGTTTGTGTCTAGAAGCTAAATCACTTCATGAAGAGGCTTTAATATCCTTCTTCATCTCGCTCTCAGTCGATCCAGATTACGTGCCCAGCATTGTTTCTGTAGCAGAGGTTATGATGAAATCCGGAGGTGAATCACTTCCAACCGCTAAAAGTTTCCTCATGAATGCCTTAAGATTAGACCCGAGAAATCATGATGCGTGGATGAAGCTAGGGCACGTTGCCAAAATGCAAGGCTTGTCACAACAAGCTGCAGAGTTTTACCAAGCTGCATATGAACTAGAACTGTCGGCTCCAGTACAGAGTTTCATTTGACGTGCAAGATTCCAGGCAAGCTTAGTGAAACCAGGTAACAAAATCCTCTCGGGCCTCTAGATAAAGTCGCAGCGACAGATTCTCGACTTGAAAGTTTATGGTAAATGAAGTTTGAAAGTAATGTAAAAACAGTTATCGATATGCGAGTGGTTATGAAGGTTATCTCACAAATTTACCTCATGTCACAGGGACTTGGATACCAAGTCTCAAGTCAGCTACGTTGCATTTATAGTAAGATATAAGCCGCAAAACTTGTTTTTATACCATCATCACACGCGTCCCCGCAGGCCCTCAATCTGGACCGAGACCTAAAATATAGACTGATACCGATCCAGTACTTTCTTTTACAAATTTTGGAAGTTCAGTTTTTGGGAAGTGAGCATCATTTGAATAGTATGAAAATGTGATTTCAATACTTTTAAAATTCCTTCGGATATAAAGGCCACATGCGTACTCCAAAACCTAGTTTAAGCGTCGTTGCTCCTAATTAAACGTTGTGTCGTTTTACGTTATATATTACTTAGACTTCAGCTTGTCCTTCTATGACCGCTTCCAGCCCAAGTCACGTAGAGACGACAACATTTAGAAACATTTACCAACGGAATATGGAAGTTTTGAATCGTCGCCGATATGAAACCATTTTAGATTAAACGAGGAACTTTTTCTTCTTCATTCATACTGTATTATAACAGTAGAAATTATGACTAACCGACATTTACATATTGGCTATAGTCTATAGAGAATATATATCGTTACGCTAAAGCACTAGTACTAGAAAGGGTAACACACATACTCCAAAACCTACTCTAAACGTTGCAGCTTGACTGGCAAGCCTCTCTCCGGTCCGTGGTTGCGTGAAACCTCCACGTAAAAACATAATCTTTGGACTCACATGCAAGTTTCATCACATCGCAAAACGCGTGCATGTACTCCTCCTTACCGTCTCTTCCCCACTCTATCCTCACCCAGCAAGAAAACCCATTATTCTCGGTCATCATTGGAATTTTGGATTCACAAAAATGGATCATCACTTCCCCACAGATCCTCCTCCCTCTCACCATCGAATCCAGCCACGAACACTCGGGCTGCCCCATCATCTCCTTGTACGCCGAGTTCACGAGTCTGACCCTGTTGCTGGAATCGGTGATCACAGAGGGTAAGTCGTCTGACTCGACTTCCTCTTCGACCTCACTTGGCGACTTCTTGCTGGTTTGATTTGGCAGCGGAGATGGGTTGGTCAGTGGGTTTATGTAGGCTACGTTGATCTTTGAGCAAAGAGGCCTTATAGGCTGGGGTGATATAACTCTGCTCGTTGTAGTTGTCGTTGTTGTGATGGGTCCTTGTAGTTGCTTCAAGAAATCTATCTCTTGTATTACTTCTGCGGTCTTGTTAAGATCAATGACACCCTTACCTTTGATCTCTGGCTCCATGCATTTGGAGGGAAGAGGAGGAGAGCATTGAAGAAGAGGCAGAGTCACCAAAGCAGAAGAGGCACCATTCTCCAAGGCGTATCCAACTTGAGTGAGGCTAGGTAAGCCATGATGAGTGAAAGCCTGGAACGACAGCGTTTTAATTGGGCCAATGACACGTTGGGTAGTAGTAGTAGAAGAAGAGGTGGGAGAAGAAACGCATGATGACTTTGGTCTCTTCATAGCAAGAGAAGAAGGACCCATACCACCTCGGCCTCGCTTGCGGGTTCTGGTAGGGCGCGCTTGAAGCTGAGGCCAGAGGTTACGAAGGTAAGGAGATTGGCTGATCTTGTGAGACATAGAGGAAGAAGGGTCATCGTCGTTGACACGAGGCGTCCCGGGCTTAGGAGCAATGGGTCTATATTTAGACAAGATCTCAGCTGTCTTAAGAGTTGTGGTAGAGTGAGGATTGAGTATCTTGATCATGACGTCAAAGCTCGAAGAAGAAGAAGAAGATGATGAAATGGATGTTGAGAGGTCAGAGAGAGTGAAGAGGTAGGGAAGGGTTATAAGAAGAGGGGAAGGGCCAATAAGAGAGAGGCGAATATTAAGGAAGAAGGACATTTGGGGAGAGAAGGATGGGTACGTGTTAGTGAGGGTTGGGGATAGGGACACGTGTGAGGGGGAAATGAGTTAATGTGCCGTTTTTACAAGAAGGTATTGGGGATATGTGGTTCGGTTCACCAATCACAGAGGATGTCACCGCAACGCGTGTTGTTGCTGGGCGTCATGCGTGCCTACACCTATCCCCTCCCTCCTCTCTTCTCTTTTCTCTTTTTTTTTGTTTAGAAAAAAAACCCACATGCAATGTACTTAAAACAATATTCGAGGGCTTTAATTTTAAAGATTTGTTTTTTGAAACTTCACCAAAGTTATAATTTTGGTTTTAAGTGTTAGGCGTTATTGGCGTCAAGACTTTGCTTCTTCGAGATAGTTAGAGAGGTGTGGGTGAGTGATTGGGGCGTTAGGGAGTAACACGAGGCAGTTGCAGCGTCTGTCTGCTCCATGCAACGGTGGGAGAGAAGGAGAGACACGTGGTGCTTTTTTAGTTGACGTCTGGGGGCTTCTTTTCTCGTACGTGTCTTGGTTTTGTCATCCTTTTTTTTCTTTCTTAAAAAACCTGACCTCGCCGTTTAACATCCTATATTTGCTCGACACACACGCACACGGTGGAGTACTCTTCTCTCTCTCTTTCGTCTATAGAGTTCTGCTTTGGTGGTTTTGCCAGCTCTTTACTTTTTCTCGAATTCGAATCATTATGGTATGGAAGAATATAAATACGTTTTGTACGGGTTTTATTGCCTTTGCCTCATCCACGTTAAAGATTTTACCACCTTTTTTATAAAATTCGATATTTGTAAAACTATGTCCGCAAAATTTGAAGACTCGCGGTCATATATAACCAATCAATGAATAAAAGAGAAGAGTTTTTAGTATACACTAAAAGAACGTCCATAGTCTTTTCTTGAAATTTCTATACGTATTTGGATTCTATCATAAAAACTGAAGAGATCAACAACATCCCTAAACAAAGGTAGCAATGTAATGTGTAGTAGTATCACTCTCCTGTTTTCTTTTGTTTCTCGCCCTCGGTAGTTATAAGTATAAACAAATTTTGTAACAATATATCATTAAAATAAGTGGAATGATCAGATTCAAAGAAGAGGTTCGTTGCAAGAAAAGCTTCTAATATATAAATTTATGAGCCACAAAACTTAAAATCCAATGTATGACAGACAGTAGAAACAATACAAAATTTTAGGCATATATTGCTCAACATATGGAAGGAAACATACTTCCTCATAACTTGGCCGATATATCTTCTGACACTCTTCCAACATATCTATTACTAAGCAGGGTCTCAAGAAATTAAAGGCAACTTCCTTTAGCTTCCTCTTCTCGCTTATGTCCCGAATATATGTCTGTGTACTGGTTGTGTATCCAACCCCTTGATAACCTCCATCCATGGTTTCTCCATTACCAAAATTGCACTTTTTGATAAATGTCGTAAATATAGAACTGGGTGCTTTGAAGTTACCATTTCAAACTTCTTTCTCTTATTACTCTTACTCTCTTTTTGATACTCCTCTAACCTACGTTTTTGAGCACCATTCCCCAATTTCATACCAATGCTTGCAAGTCTACCTTCTAGCTTTTCAGACGGTTTGCATGGCAAATCCGTTTCTTCGTCTTCTTCCGCCGGCTTCCCAAATTCAATCAAACACTTAGCTCTGCCATGCAACCAAAAATACAAGTGTCACGATTATATTTGTCATTAAGTGAAAATTTTGAAAACCAATCAAGTACCTGGAGCTATAAATGATTACAGATGATGAACTTGGTGATGGCGAGAATGAGAGTCCTACGACTTCACCAGGAAATTCTTGGTAGTTCTTTGGCAAACAAAAGGTGTGCAGTAATGACCACTTGCTCAACTCTCTAGCCTCCACATCCAATGCAAATACCTGGTTGGAAGAGGTCGAGATCACAAGCACATTATTGTTCCTGGGATGAAAACCAGCGGCTGCAACAGATGCACCATCAAGCCTTGATATGAACCAGTGCTGCCTGTGATCAGAATTAGAGGCTGAGTGAAGGAAAAAAATATATACAAGCAGGTGCTTGAATATATGCAAGCCATACTTATATCGCTCTGCAGATATATCCATTGTGAACAAGTCCTAACAAATAATTGTAAGAAGAAAGGGGTCAGAAAATGTTCACCTCTGCGTTTCCAGGTTGAACACATATATGTCCCCAAAGCAATTGATAGCAGCTAACCAATCATCATTGGAGCTAGTATACAGTTTTGTAATTGGAGGCTCTCGAGGAGGAGATTCACCTTCCTGCCCATCCTGGCGTGGAGTAAAAGAATGTAATAGGTCCATGCTACCAACGTCAACAATCTGCCAACAAATAAAGTTCAGATATTTGACAAGGTCAGGGAGTAAATAAATACTAGTAAAAAATATGGCACATACATATATCCTTCTATCATGTCCAGCTATTAGCAGCCGAGAGCAGTCACAGCTGAAAGTCATGGAATGAGAAAACGGAAGATTCGGAAGTCGCTTTCTACTGGCACTCCATGGATTCTTTCCAAGTTTATTTTTCTTCAACTCAAACAGACTTGGGCGAATTTGATCAGAATAAGCAAAAAGTGACCCTGAGTTAGAAATTGCACTGCATATGATCTTCCGGGCATCTTTACTTTTAACACGAACCAATGGCTTGGTGGAGACACGCCCACTAGAATCATTACTTATGTGAATACGAAGAATATCTAAAGAACAAGATTCCTGAACCAAGAGAAGAGACATCTCATCGAACACTGTATTATGTACCATCTGCATGGGTACTCTCTGAGGCGCAGGACATATATCATGTGGAGGAAACTTAGTGAACTCTTGAACCGAGTATGCATAAAGCTTTGCATCATCACCTGCTGAAATGAGCATCGGAACCCCCAAATGTGCCCATTTATGGTAACTGAAACCAACCGGCTTCTCCTTCCTGCGTTGTTTAGGACTTGTTATTGCATTAATGTCTGGAAGAGAACCTGCAAAAGATGGGAGCTTAAGAAATAAAAATAACAAAAATCTAGGCAGCTACTAGATACAACATTGATCCCGTATGCATTTTGATACACAATATGGCTCAAGCCAAAATAAGTACTAGGGTTTCTTGTGATAAATATCAAGTAATTTGATAGAGAATAAGGTTACTAGTTTGACATTAGATTTCTATTTGTAGCCAAATGAGGAGTTCTTAGGATACTCATTCTTTTCTATTTAGTGCATTGGGGTTTCTCTATGTTTGTGATCCACAAACTCTAATACATAGAAACATGAATTTTTATTATAAACCATACTGGACAATCTGAAAATATAATATCACTCAAGAAGCCACTGACCTTCAGAACTTATTGGCACTGCGACAGTTAGCGCCCTGATGTCATGTGTATGAGCCCTTACACAACTAATATAATCCCACTTCTGAGTGGAAGAAGGTTTAAAATCTTGTGATTTAAATGTACCACCAGAGAGCTTATATAGAATAACCTGCAAAAGGATGGACGAAGTATTAGAAAGTTGTCCCCATTACAGCCAAACAACATATCTAATGTGCTGATAAAACAGGAATTTTTCTTTTTAGTTATACAACACCTTAAAATTGGTCATATTATATGTTTCTACTATATTGAAGTACAATTTCTCATCAACAGGAACCAGTCTTTATTATATACCATTTGTTAACTGGGATTTACATGAGCGAACACTAGCAGTATCATTTACCTGTCCATCAGCGCCTGCAGAAAACACCCGGTTATGAGATGGGGATGCTGCAAGGGCATTGACATCACCCTTGTGATTAGAATGCGCTTGTAAAAGGGTTCCATGCTGGCTATCCCAAAACTGAACACTTCCTGTACTATCTCCACTAACAAGAACTCCACACCTAAAATACGATGTAGATCATTAGCAAGCAATAAGAAAAGAAAGACATAAAACTAACATATGTGGACGATAATCTTTACCTTAATGAAAGAAGTGACCAAATGCAGAGCTCAGACCCATTTCCCAGTCCTCCAAGTCCAACAGTGATTCTATATACCTCACGGCAGAGATTAGCATCCCAGCATCTTATCAGCCTACAGATAATTGTTGGGAATCCCAAAAAAAAAATCAACTTTAGCCCAATCGAAGAATATTCAGGGGTCTTCTTTCCAATAAAATATGCATCTCTAAGGTAATTAAATAATAAGCATCTCATACAAAGTAAGATAAATTATCCTCACCCATCACTACTGCCTGAAAAGATTCTCCGTCCATCCGAACTCCACGTCACACTTAAAGCACGGCCTATGCAAATCACTCATTAATGTTCTATAAAGCACCTAAGTATATACAATAATGAAGGGTCAAAATGATGCGTCGGGGGTAATGAGTTCTCACCACTGACCCTAGGTAACGATCTATAGTAGGTTAACTTGTCTGAATCAGAGATATAATAAATCCTCACGCAGCCATCATCACAGGCAGCTGCAAGATGCCTATCCAAGGCCTCCACTTTCTCATCAAGCTCGTCTAACTCTGAATCATCTTCAACTCCACTTTCTTCCTCGTCATCTGATTTCTCACTCAAGTACCCATTCTGAATCAGCTTAGCTTCTTTACCTTCTGCTCCAATTGAAAGAGGTGCCAGAGCTATTTGCCAGATTGATACGCCAATTGACTCTAGGACGACCTAAGCAATCAGATAGAAAGAGATACAATACGAGCAAATCAGCGAATGTACTTGTTTTGCAAATAACTGGAACAATGTACAAGAAGCTGGAATTTTTATCAAGTGAAATTCACCTTCTGCTTCAAGTCGAAAAGATCCCACTCCGAAATTGTGCCATCGATGCTCGAAGAAAACAACCTAGCAGAAGACGAACCTTTAGAACCAGTACCAAACCACGCAAGGTGCGAGATTCTCGATTTTGGATCTCCATGGATGATCTATACTCAAAATTAAAGTGACCAGATAACACAAAGAGACTATTACAGCTCTAATCGTCTCAAAAATGTAAAAATTGGAAGAGAAAAAGCAAAAGGACTTACGAGTTGACAGTGCCAGGAGGAAGCACCGGGAGAGATGAGCCAGACCTCGAGAGAACCATCCTCTCGAGCTGAAGCGACCTGAGAGCCGTCTGAGCTGGTAGCAAGAGCTACCACCGGAGATGGTTTCCAATCGATGGAGCTGCACCTGTACTCAAACATGGAGGCGACGGAGAAAGATGAGAGAGACGACAAAGAAGCAAATTAGCGTTTAGGTTTTAACAAGGGTTTTTGATTCTTTTTTTCTTTTCTTTTTTTGGAGCAACAGTTTAAAAAGCGGTCGGGTCGACCCGATCTACTGGGCTGTAAATCTGGTTTCCAGTTAAATACGTTGTATAATGCCACGTTGGCGAATTACAATAAAAAAGGAAATAAATATTTAGAGTCTCTAGCTGAGGAAGCGGGTAAGCGTGTTTCATATCTACACCATATACTAGTTATCATCTTAAGCCTTTCGTTTTAGATGCTACTCTGCTTTCCAAAATTCAATGGAAATTTTCTCCAAATCTCCTTTGATGAGACTCTGTTTCTTAGCAAGAAAATGAAGGAACCATCTTTACATTTTTGGGTAATCATAGGGATGCTTGTAATGGCGACAATGACCTCCATGTGTATGGGAAACAACGTGTACCCTCTCATTCTGGTTCCAGGAAACGGTGGTAACCAGTTAGAGGCAAGACTGGACAGAGAGTACAAGCCAACTAGCTTTTGGTGTAGCAGCTGGTTATATCCGATTCACAAGAAGAATGGTGGATGGTTTAGGCTATGGTTTGATGCAGCAGTGATATTCTCTCCCTTCACCAGGTGCTTCAACGACCGTATGATGTTGTACTATGACGCCGATTTGGATGATTACCAAAATGCTCCTGGTGTCCATACCAGGGTTCCTCATTTTGGTTCGACCAAGTCGCTTCTATACCTTGACCCTCGTCTCCGGTTAGTACCTACCAAAAATTTCCGTTTAGCAAACAAAATGGGGACTATTGTGGGTAGGATTATAGTTATCAAGAGGCAGTAGCCATTAATCTACTAGGAGGTAATGTGAACGTTAGGTGATTCACAATCGATATTAAAAACCGGATCGTCTATTCTAAGTGAAGCTAGAAAGCTGTCCCTTAAATTTAATAATGCTGGTACAATGCGAGGAAATTTATAAGGTATATATATTAATGTAGCTTAACTATAAGGTTTGATTTGCAGAGATGCCACATCTTACATGGAACCTTTGGTGAAAGCTCTAGAGAAAGGCTGTGGGTATGTTAACGACCAAACCCTCTTGGGAGCTCCATATGATTTCAGGTATGGCCTGGCTGCGTCGGGCCACCCATCCCGTGTAGCCTCAGAGTTCCTACAAGACCTCAAGAGTTTGGTGGAAAAAACAAGCGGCGAGAACAACGGAAAGCCAGTGATACTCCTCTCCCATAGCCTAGGAGGACTTTTTGTTCTCCAATTCCTCAACCGTACCACCCCTTCATGGCGCCGCAAGTACATCAAACACTTTGTTGCACTTGCTGCACCATGGGGTGGGACGATCTCGCAGATGAAGACGTTTGCTTCTGGAAACACACTCGGTGTACCTTTAGTTGACCCTTTGCTGGTCAGACCACAGCAGAGGACCTCCGAGAGTAACCAATGGTTACTTCCATCTGCCAAAGTGTTTCACGACAGAACCAAACCGCTTGTCGTTACTCCCGGGGTTAACTACACAGCTTACGAGATGGATAAGTTTCTTGCGGTCATTGGATTCTCTCAAGGAGTTGTGCCTTACAAGACAAGAGTGTTGCCTTTAACAGAGGAACTGGTGACTCCGGGAGTGCCAGTCACTTGCATATATGGGAGAGGAGTTGATACGCCAGAGGTTTTGGTGTATGGAAAAGGAGGATTTGATGAGCAACCAGAGATTAAGTATGGAGATGGAGATGGGACGGTTAATTTGGCGAGTTTAGCAGCTTTGGAAGCTGAGAGCGTGGAAAACGTTGAGCTTGGTGGAGTCTCGCATACCTCTATACTCAAAGATGAGATTGCACTTAAACAGATTGTGAAGCAGATTTCGATTATTAATTCTGCATTAGCCAACGTCAATGCTATGAGTGAATGAGAGGAGTACTCATTATTCCATCAATTTTAGTTGTATATTGTAAGATAAAGAAGTCATTTACAGAGATTTCACGGTTTGTTTAGTTTGGCTCACACAAAAGTTTTATTAAGTCTCTATCTAACTCCCTATGAAAAAAAAAAGTAACCTAAATAATAAGAATAGTGTGATATAATTCGAAGAAAAAGTGCTTTGGTGCAAGAAGTGTAGCTTATTGGATTTGAGCCAAACTTGAAACATAATTCATAAGAAATGAGTAAAGTGATCCGTCTGTGAAATCCCCACCGTACTAGCCATTGTATATATGCCTTCTGTTCACACCATTAAGATGAGCTGTGATTCAAATATTAGAGAAGATTGTAATGATCTTTCTTATATAAAACTAATAAGTTGTTCCGAAGGAAATAAAGAGTATAAGAAGACAAAAAAAGGTGTTGTTGTTTATGAGTTTTAAAGTTGTGTAAAAGTGGTAATGATCTTCTCATTCAATAAATTAGAACAAATATGTGAGCCTGTTAATTCAAGTACACCGGATTAAGAGACAATGAAAGGAAACACTTCCACAAACATAATCACAAACAAAAAAACCAAAAAAAATGTATTCACATTTCTATAAATAGTAAGAAAATATAACATATTGTTAACGAAGAGCCGGGGAAGTGAGATCGGCATCAATTAGCGTCTTGAGGGATTTAGCTTTCCTTCCTGTAACGTTACCAGCCTCTTTCAAGAGTTGGACCAGCCTTTTCTTCTCATCTTCCGTTACAGGATTGGCTGTACCGAGTTTTTCCTCCCGAACCCCAACCACGTGTGCTAGCAGGGCAATCGCATCATCCAACCTATATATTCACAACCGAAACCACAAACTTGTTAGAGGTCAGTAGGATGACGAAAAAAAGAGAGAAATTAACACAAGCACATACCTGCCAATTGCATCATAGGCTCCTGCAAGGTTGCTGTACAGTCCAAGTGTTTCAGGGTGATACGGACCACACTCTTGTTCTAAAATACACTTGGCCTCTTCAAACAACTCAACAGCCTCTTCTATTGCGTCGAGCTGAATGCATGCTAAACCCATTTGGTTAAGTGCAATCCCGAAAAATGTTGATTGTTTCTTTCCAGTCGCCCGTAGTTTTGAGACAGCACTCTTAAATGTGTTGTACGACTCCATGTATTTTCCCATCATATAGTACAACACTCCCATTTGAGCTTCAATTCCTGCAATCATGATTTTCTGGCCAGGAGAATCAGCGTATATCTTCAGCGCTTTTTGAAGCAAGCTAATAGCTTGTTCCAACTCGTTCATAGACTCACAAATCACTGAGATATCTGTAAGACCACTTGCAATCTCTTCGGGAGAAATTTCTAGGTTATGAGACTCGTATATCCGGAGGGCATTTTCACAATAAGATTTTGCTTCTCGCACTTTTCCGGTTCGATTATAGAGATCAGCTAAACGGATATAAACTGAACCGACAGCTGGATGGTTCTCTCCCTTTGCTGTCTTCAGTGCTGTCAGAGATTTCTGGTAAGCACAAATTGCTTCATCAAACCTAGACAACGACAAGTACGAGTCACCAATGCTAGTATCAACAAAAGCAACCTCAGAGTCTTGTCCATTTGCTGCCATGGCCATACTGGCTAATACTAAATGCTCGAGGGCATTCTCATGATCTCCCTTAGTCTCACATATAAGACCCATGAGTCTTCTATCTGCCGCCTCTGCGACTGAACCTGGTAAACCGGTTTCTTTATGTATAGAAAGAGCCATTTCGCACACCTGCTGAGCCTCATCAAACCGTAATGCTTGTACAAGAGCCTCTGATAGGTACCTGCATGTTTCACCAACTCTTGGGTCATTTTCTCCCAAAACCTTCTTCTGGATGTTCAGTCCCTCGGTATAACAAGATATGGAGTTCTCTAGCTGCCCTACCATAGCATAAGTGTCGCCTAACTGCATCATACCAGAAAATTTGGCAAGTGCATGCTCTTCACCCTCTTCGACAACTGGAATCTCAACCGAACGCTGCAGAACCGGAATTGCCTCATTGTACTCCTTTAACTTACAATGAATTGCTGCTGTAACATGCAAACACATGATCCATTCCAAACACGGTTTCCCATCCTCTGCAGAAGCCTCAAATAACTTAGCTGCTCTATGAGTTAACTCGAGACCTTTGTGGGTACTATCACCCGAACTAACCAAGTTTCTCGCTTGGTTCAGTAAAAACCGTGCCAGCTCCACGTTTTCAGATGAAGGCTCTTCATTTCCAATTTGTAGCTTTGTAGTTCCAGCTTTCTTCTTCCTCGTGCCACCAACTCCCACGTTCGATCTACTCACATCCTTCTTAACAACTTGCTTCTCCATATCCTTGGACATGACCTCCAAATCCGACTTCGCAGAGTTTGACTTGATATCGAACTTCTCTGGCTTTGCAACTTCGTCCTCATCTGCTTCATCTTCCAAAATATCAATATCTCGCATCTCTCCCAAAGCAAGATGTTGTAGATCAGAATCAATCTTAGACTCATCACCGTAAGATCCAAAGCTCTGCCTCGATGGAGACTGATTAGAACTCTGCAATTCGCAGAGATTCTTACATAGCTCCTCTATCGTTGTGTCAAACATTTGATCGGCATTGGATTGCGATTCGTGAACAGACCCTCCTCTTTCCATTTTACAATTTCCTCCAAAATAAAACAGCTCTCTGCACTACAACCGTAACCCAAACATCATCAATGGAGCTGAAGAACTAAAAAACGGATGCACAAGCCTCGATTAAACCAGAAGAAGAAAAGAAAAGAAAGAGATAAAGGCGAATCCTTTAGCAAACCCACAAATTGAAACATAAAAAGAATGCATTGCAGGCAAGTTCAGATACAAATTGAAACATAAAAAGAATCCTTTATCATCATTTATCCAAATACATACGCAAATCGCCGCACATACAATTCTTTTATTCAGACACTTTCATTACGGCACATTAGCCATTATAAGACAAACAGGAGAGGCGGCAATACTTGAGTTATTCAGAGATTGGTTATACACAGCGAAAAGAAATCGAAAGGGGACAACAAAAGAAAGAGGAAACATAGAGACAAATTATCTAACCTTGTTTGGGATTGTGTCGGAATCGAAATCCTCGGAAGGAGACAAGAACAATAAGAAATCTGAAGAGAAGTCCTAATTGTAGAAATGACAAGACCAGAAATGGGTCGGAGGGGTGAGAGAGAGAGTTGAAATTTCAACCCTTTTTTTTTTTGCTTTCTTTTTCTCGGTGGAATGTCAAAAAAGATGAAGGAGGAGGAGGAGCGGGAAGAGAGAGAAATAACCAAAAAGAAAATTAAAAAAAAGGAGTTTTTATTCTTGTTTCTCCAATGTAAATGCCGCCATTGCGTTGTCTCACGGGAACACACACAAAACAAAACTACATTTATTGCTATTTTACCTTTTTTCCGATTTACCTAATTTTGGAGAAACTGGAATTTTTAAGTTTTTTTAAACAATAAGTTGTTTAAGTTAGTTATCAAGATTATTATGTTTGCCTCACTAGATTGATTCGCACAAGTTACATGTGTTCTTCTAGGTTTGGATCTAGTACTATACTAAATGGGGTCTTGAAAACATTATCCCGGTGAAACAGCATGTCGGATTCGATCATTTACTTTAGCTTAAAATTTGTAAATGTCACTTTGCATTATCCTATATTTTGTCTAGCCAAACATATATGTGTGATGATAGTTTGCCAATGACGATGATAGTTTAGTATAGTTGACCCCTGTTTTCAGTTATAAGTGTGATGATACCTTGTAGTAGGGGTGTTCATTATATTTGATCAAACCAGTCTAAATAGACCACAAAAACAAACTGATGAAACCGAAAATTTTAAATTCTATTGAACACTATAGACCTACACCGCCAAATCCGTAATGAACAATCCACAGACTATATGGTTTAAACTTAGTTATTATATCATAAAACCCGGTTCACAAAAAAAAAAAAATATATCATAAAACCCAAAATATCTAAAAAACTAAAAGTTCTAGCTAGTATAAACACGCTCGGGGTGTTATTGGTTTTAAAGTGCAAGGAACAAAGAAAAGGAGATTATAGTTACAATGAAAGAAGACGGCGTTTCGATCAATAACGATTTGGTCACTCGGGCAGTCTCAGACGGTTGAAAACTACCAAGAAACTTTGCTCAGGACCAATATATAAAAATCCAAGATCCGCGCCTTTCACATATGGTCCCATTCCCTGTTCACAATACCCCATCCATTTAAAACCGAAAGCCGAATAAATGATTGTTGTCTCTTTTGTGTGTCTATGTATTACCTTTCCATTGAGTTTTAATAACTTGCCCTCGACCCATTTTGGGTTCTTAAACCCAAAGTCGGCGATTCTTCCTTGTCCTCTGTAACTCGCAAGCTGCACATATGTAAACATCTTCTTAATAAAGCTTTTGATTCAAAGGTCAACACGGTTGGAACCCATGACATGTCTAAGCTATTGTGTCAATAGGAGATTAAATAGTTTTTGACTCTTTTTCAGGTTCAGCTTTTAGCTTAAGCATAAAGTTTTTGATATTTTATCGATTTACATAGCTGAGCATGCTTTTGTTTTGGATTTGTAAGTTGTAACTGAAGCTCAGGAGATGAGGAAAGTATTATTAGTTTATTACCACTCCCAATTCCTCTGGAAACAATCCATGATTTGTCATGCGACTCCCATTCCCAATCCTTGCACGAAATGTCACCTACAAGAATTTGTGACCCTATCTTAGATTCTTCATCTCATAAAAAATGTCATGATTTGTAAACAAAAATTGAAAAAAAAATTGTTCAAAAAGATATATAACCTGGCCCGCCGGCACATTTGGATCCCCTGTCAACTTTACAGCCTCGACATATTCAAAGAACTCTATATCTGAAGAGTTACTTCCCTCTGCATCATTCCAACGACCATACTTGCGCTTAAGTTGCACTATCTCGGTGCCATAAGGCCCGAATGCACCCACATATAGGCCTGCGCTTCAAAGTCAGAACATATTCCATGTTGAGTTGTGCAAATACATTCTAAGCCCAAATCAAGAGAAAGAAAATAAGACTAAAGCACAATATGCTTACCATCAAAAGGGTCTAGGTTGCTTTCAGGAGTTATGATTCTATTAAATGCTGTATACTCGTAGAAATGGTTTCGTTCTTGTTCCTCAGTAATAGAACGCTTGACCATCTCATGCAAATTTCTCGATACCTAGAACAATAAGCGAATATTCTTTATATATAAAAACATTAACACGACAACATAAAGAGGTCTTAAATAATAACGATCTGATTCTAGAGTTCAGCTTTATAAAAATGGCGTGAATTCAGCAATACCTTCAAAGAAGCTTTCTCTGAACCCCAGAACGTCTTGGCAACCTCTGGTGGCATCAGATCTGAAATTCCTTGAGCTGCAATAGATGTTACTTGTTCCTTGGATGCTCTGTTTTTCCTTGTATCGATATCCAAATCAATCACACTTTGCCAAGGAACATGCAAGATAAAGGAATCTCTTTCGGTATCCATAATATCTGCCTGAACACGGACAATATCATCATCTATGGAGGAATCCTCTATGTTGTGTAGAACCCCTCCGATAACAAGCTTAGTGTTTAAATGCTTTTCATAATCTGCACTATCCATGGATGAAATTTCCTCAATACTGTCATTTTTTCCTTCTTTTTCTTCTTCTCCTTCATCAGAAGAATTTGATTCCTCAATTCCTTCTTCAACCAGATCTTCAGTAGCATCATCACTATCTACAATATTTTCCTCAGGGATTTTAATTACATCCATTACTTTCAGCTTTAGCCCTGGGATTTTATCTTTTAGAAATTTTAGCACATTTTTAATTCCTTCTTCAGTTGGTTCCTCGGCATGTAGTAGCCTATCTTCTTTTTTATCCACCTTCACTTCACTTCCTCGCACATCTAGAAGGGATGGGTCATCAATTGGGGCATTCGATGATTGATGTGCTCGTAAATAGGAATTCTCGGAAGTGGACAGGTTTTGCTTCAAATACACCACCTGAACAAAGCAGTTATGAGATTCGACCACCATCAGTTCGAACAGGTTAATCAGCGCATTTTAAGAAGAAAAAGACAAGAATGGTGAGTGGACTAGCAACTAATCTTATATTACAAGATACAAAGGTAAAAGGATATACTGTCACCAGAACTGCTAATTACTTTTAAAAAAATGTAGCTTAAACTACCTGCATAACATATCCTCCGTCAGTGTCTTTAACAACAAAAATCTCAAACAGAGGTGTTCCAGCAGCTTCAGCCACAAGCTGTCTGCATGAAGGAGTTACGAGATTCAAATACCACCAATAATTGAAAAATACTAAAATCCTCAGCATAACCCGTTCTCACCTTGGACTGTAACTCATGCCAATAAACCTACCAACACCTGGAGTTATGTGTACAAGTCTGCCAAATGGTGCCTCAAAATCTCGAGGACGACCAACCCACCAACCCACCTACATAGACACCAGAAACATGATAATGCTTTAAAAATCCAATCCAATCCCAGTCCCTATAAAAGCATAGATTATTGACTACAGATTGGGGAAATAACATGTAATCTTGACAGGTTTACCAGTGAAAACATCAGTATTCCTTCACTTATGTCAGGAAACATATATTCCTTCCAACTAGTGTTAATAGTCAACAAAACACGAAACATTTTTCGTATCACTTCTAGTTTAAGAACTCTTGTAGTTTTCACCTTTTTTCTTGATTCCTCTAAGAGTATATCATACACTTATTACATCACATGAAGACGAGTATTTTGGTTTTTTTATTTAAATACCTAGTGAAATCTTCTACTCGTTACTTTATGTATAATTTGGGTGTGTATCTTACAAGCTAAACAAGACAGAACAAAGTATAAAGACGGTAAACACAATTACCAGTCCACTTCCTGTCTGATTGCATAACCTGGAAGCATCATGGTAACGCTCTTCGCGTATTGCAGTCTGCAAGGACGTTAATCATATATATAATTAGTAAGAAGATAACATAAGAGTTTGTTTGTATGTTATCAAAAGCACAAACTCTCTAACCTGTAACTGACGCATGATCTCAGCGACAGTATCATCAACAGTAGCTTCTGCGATGGCTTGTTTCAACTTAGCTGCTTCTTCAAAGTCTTCTTTTTCAACGGCCTCTTCAAGTTGAGACTGTTACATAAGCTAGAAGATTCCAAAATTAGAAAACTATAACCAACCCAAATTAAAATAAAATATACAGCACAACCAGAGTGAAAGCGAGTTTAGATGGATAGAACCTTGAGAAGAGAAACAACGGTCTCGACTTCTTCAATCTCGGAGAAGTGACGGTTCCAACGATCCCAATCCCACTTATCCTCAGAGGAACTGGTATCAGCGTCATCAACGGCGGCGCAATTTCGTAGACAGCTCCGAGATGGTGTTTTAGGGTAACAGGTTGATATAGAAGAAGAAGCAAAGGAGTGTCGTAGGCCGATAGATACGGAGAAATTGGAGCGTGTGTCCGGATTTGGAGAGTTTTTGGGGCTGAAGAGGAGATGAAATCGAGGAACGGAGATTCTCTGGCCGAGAAGGCATGGATGAGTTGTCGCCATTAGAGGACGACGGAGGAACGGACCGGACCGAACTGAGAGGTTTTTGCCGGTTCGACGAAAGACACTGTCTCGGTGTGGATAGGGGAAGATTGATTTTTGTATTTGGGGATTTTGAGTAAATTTGTTTCACCAAGGCCAAGTATCAGATATTTATTTATATGCAGTGAAATTTTTTAATTTATTTCGTATGAAGTTTTATACTATTGTATGAAAATTGTAAAAAGGGTAAAACAGTAAATGTCAGAAGGAAAGGGAACAGATCCCGATTTTAGCTGACTATTGCTCGGATCGAGAGGATCAGACGCGGCGGAGCGTGACGGAGGAGGAGAATGATGAATGCATAAATTCCTCTCTTGTTCATCTGATTGGTTTCTTTCTTATACAGAGCTTATCATGTCTTGTAATCTCCATCCCAAGAAGCGTCTCTTCCTCTGCTTGCTTCTTTGTCTAGCTTTCTTCGTCGTCGACTCCTCCTCGCAGCAGCATCTCGAGGTCAAGAAGAAACTTATGCGAGAGAAAGTACGCGAGATGTAAGGAGTAGTGTCTTTGATATCATCAATCTCTTCATGACCCATTTCATTTATTCTTTGTCCTGCGGTGGTAAATGGTATTTTAGAGAAATTATTGAAAAACCCTTTCTAATCTAAGATTTTGCTGTGATCAAGTGTACTGAATCTTCGGTTAGGAAATTAGCTACACTGTTTGAGAGAGATAGATGGAACTAGGCTTTGTTCAAAAATGTGATTTTTTCATAAATTTGTCAATTCGTTCAGAGGTTCGCACTAGTCTGCATTTGGTTCCATTTTTCTTCTTATGGTTATAGTCTTTTATGTGAATTGCTTGGGCCCTTGCTAACTTTAAAGTGTAACAAAACCATAGCAAATAGTATTGTTGATGATATTGTCATTCTTGGTTATCTTGTTTTTACAGGTTCTATCATGCGTATGACAACTACATGACTTACGCATTTCCGGTTAGTGAACTACTTCAGCTTGATCATTATAAGTTGATGAATTCTGGCTGCTCTGTTTGAATTCCACCTTCGTTCTGAATTCCAACAGCACGATGAGCTAAAGCCTCTTACAAAAAGTTTCACAGACTCCCTCAGTGAGCTTGGAAATCTCAAGGTAACTTACTAACTAGCTCATTGAGCTTCATAAACTATTTGAAGCAGAAGCTTGACTCCAATATTCCTGATTTCCAGCTTGAACATCTGCCAACAGATTATAATGGATCAGCTGTAACACTTGTTGAATCCTTATCCAGGTATGTTATGCTATTCTGAATGCATTCCATAAAAAGGTTTTTCAATACCAGTTTGACATGATTCTCTTTTGTTCCAGCCTTGCTATATTGGGAAACAGTTCAGAATTTGAAAAGGGGGTTCACTGGCTATCAGATAATCTAACATTCGATATTGATGCACGGGTCAACCTTTTTGAAGTAAATTACCCAGTGACTTCATACGAACCTTCAATTATATATTTGCTCTTTGGTAGAAGTCTAGTTCAGTTGATGTGTTGAATTTTTATTTCAAGAATCTTGATGTGTCCCCAAGTTTTATAAAAGAGTTACTCACACTTGATGCTTCTAACTGGGGATCTTTTTGCTTCTGATCTGCAGTGCAATATAAGAGTTCTTGGAGGACTTATCTCTGCTCATCTTCTTGCAATTGATCCAACTAATAGGTTGATTCAGGGATCCTACAACAATCAGCTTCTTCGATTAGCTGAAGACCTTGGAAAACGCTTTTTACCAGCGTTTGAAACACCCACAGGATTACCATATGCATGGATTAATTTGAAGGTATTGAAACGTCATTTATGGAATGCACCTAAAATCCTGGCTGTATAATGCGAAATTGAACAATCACTTTGATAGTTTTGACTAGCAATTCAATTCTTATTTAAAGGTTTACTGCGCTCTTACCTGCTTAAGTTTTAGCTTGCTCTTCTAGTTTTCTTGGAAACTGGATTTTTGACCCCAAATAATATCGTTGGGCAGAATGGAGTCATGGAGAATGAGACAACTGAAACAAGCACTTCAGGATGTGGTATGTATATTGTTTTCCCTTGTTTCTTTTACATTCTGTCATTCTTAAACACAAATATTTTCTTTGATGAAATTAGTTTTTCCCGAATATGTTCATATATTTATTGATATGCATTTTACACGCCAGGTTCTCTCATTCTTGAAATGGGAGCATTGTCACGGCTCACTGGTGACCCTAGATTTGAATCAGCTGCATTACGTGCGCTTCGTCAGCTATGGAGGATGCGAAGTTCATTAGATCTGCTTGGGACGACACTGGATGTGGTAACTGGGGAATGGCTGGAGTACTCCTCCAGCATTGGAGCTGGTATGTTGTTCATTTTCAGAGGGATTCTAGTAGCAATTCAGTTTTCCCTAAGATATGCCTGCAAAGTCATTTTACTTTTGTGTGCGGAATGAATTTGTGCCTTAGGTTGATGTAATTCTTCAACCTCTGATGTGTAATTTCATTTCTGGTCTTTTAAAGGGGTTGACTCTTTCTATGAATACCTCTTGAAGGCTTATATTCTTTTTGGAAAAGAAGACTACTGGCGAATGTTTAGTTCCGCTTATCTGGCATCTCAGAAGTACTTCAGACATGGGCCTTGGTAATATACTAGCCTGGAAAAATGTACTTCCACACTCTCTATTATGACACTTAGACTGCTATATGCTCAAACTGAAAATTGCTAGATGTAGTAATGAGTTTATTTATCTGGTTTAGGTACCATGAAGCTAATATGTGGAGTGGGAAACCAACTTATTGGCAGCTCACAAGTCTTCAGGCGTTTTGGCCGGGTCTACAGGTATTATGAATGAATGGATTCTTTAAATGTCATAGAAAAAACAGCTGGAAAGGGATCTTCTGATTCTCATGCTTAAGTTCTTGCTACTAGGTTCTCACAGGAGATATCGCAGCTGCAAATTCATCGCACCGCGAGTTTTTCCATGTTTGGGAGAAGTTTGGTGTATTACCTGAGAGGTTTATATTCGGTTGTCTTTTCTTTGCCGGCTTCTTACGTGGAGATCTTGAGTTCTCTGTCATTTTCAAGTTTACTGTTTGGGCTATTTGTTCAGGTATCTACTGGATCATCAAATGATACATCCAACCATGAAATACTATCCACTACGTCCTGAATTAGCAGAATCCACGTTCTACCTATACCAAGCTACAAAAGGTTTTTGTTTGTCTTTTTAGTTGTCTCACCTGGAATGTTTATTATGTGAAGTATCAGATTGGAGGCACCTCTCCTTTGATAATAGATATCTATATTATTCTTTTGTTTCTTCGTTTTGCAGATCCATGGTACCTAGATGTTGGTGAAACAATGGTAAAATCTCTTAATCTGTACACAAAGGTGCCAGGGGGATTTGCAAGTGTTAGAGATGTGACGACCATGCAATTGGAAGATCATCAGCACAGTTTCTTTCTTGCTGAAACGTGAAATTAACATTCACTTTCTTATACGTTATTCTTTTCTAATTATCTTACCCATAGAATGTCAGAACATCACATTGGTTGTTATCTCACATTTGCAGGTGCAAGTACTTGTATCTCCTCTTCGATGATTCATTTGTGGCCAAAAGGAATTATATATTTACAACCGAGGGCCATCCTATTCAGGTTGTGAGCTCCTGGCATGAGAAACTACCAAAAAATTATATCTCAGGCAACTGGACGCTTTCGAAGGTCTGTCACTTGTTCCAGCTCTAATAATTTTTGGACGAAATAAGACTTGTATGCATAGTTAGTTAGTTACACTGCCTACTAATTGTGCATAGTAATGCTAAATTCAATTGATAGACAGAAGGGCAGGCATTAAAAGAACTAAAACGAGTCTTAATGCATTATTAGGCCTTTCTTTGCTTCTATTAAACTAGGAACTTGCAAATTTGCAGAGAGGAGAATGGGAAGGTCGAGCAAGCGCATTGTCACTGCAAGTCTGTCCATCGATAGCTCTCAACTCTAGACGTCCTGAGCAACACAGAGAGAGTGCTTGCCATGTTCCTGACGAGAAAACCAATCATAGGTGTTGGAGCAACAAAGAGTGTGGAGTTGATGCCACTACTTGTAGACAAAGATCCTGCAGCGGGGTTGGATACTGCGGCTTATGGAATCCCTTATAACTTTTGACACAAGACAGGGGGTTTTTGAGTTTTAGGAAAGGAAAGAGAAGAGGTGGGGTTTATGAAGGGAAACTGTCAATTTATGTGAATGACAAGTTTTGGTTGACAGTAGAATGAATAGTGTTGCTGGATGAGGTTGTTGTATATTTTCTTTGAGTCATCAGTCTTCACATGGATATGTACTAGGGGGGGGGATCAACCTCAATCAAAGGAATATGATGTTTTTTCTTGAAGAAAAGCTCTATGAAATAGTAAAAACATTACCATAATAATTCTGTCATTTTAATTCACCATAGATCGTGCAAAAAGAAAACAGATTTTAGCAAGTAGCAACTATATGGTCTCTAAGCCCAGATGCTTCTACGACTCATATGAGCTATCTTACTTGAGCGTGTATCAAGTTAGCATACCCCCTGCACAATCAGTCATTGATTTACCAAATTTGCAGTGTTGGATTTTTCTTCCTTGCTGTGGTCAGTGATCCAATAAAACCCCCATTAAAAGGTGTCGCATTATATTATCTCAAGGGGTGGAAGTATTTATAGAAAAACATTGGAATAGATTTTAGCTTTAAGTGTTTTAATAGGGCAGACGCATCCACCTCAATCATCTCTGACTCTGAGTGCAGCTATAACTGATAAACACCTCAAAATTTCTGAGACTGAAAGACACGTTACATAGATTAAGATTCTGCAGACGGCTGTGTCATCTTTGTGCTTAATCATTCAAGAGTCCACAAGAATTGGAATCTCTGCAGCAAGCCCCAAACAAAGTGCATGCGCTGGACCAAACCAAGGACTGCATAAACAAAAGTCATTTTCATCATTGCCAAGAAAACGAGTAGGTGCTTGTAGTGGTGATAAAATTGGAATGCATAATGAGTTTAACCCAAGCTCAGTGTTTAACAAGGGAATAGTAACACGAATATACATAGAACTTAAGTTGAATTAGAAGTCCATTTTCATTTTGGCCTAGAAGAAACAGCTTTGTACTCGAGTTTGCAGCCCTACAAACTAATCTAATAAATATCTTAGGACTGTGATACTTTCATAATTCCTCTAAAAATCGAGAAGACTAGAGCTGATCTGAAACACTGCTGCATGCTTCTCTTACAATGTCTATGCAACCAGAAATCATAAAAAAAATTACCAGTTCTTGGCCTAGAGAGGCTTATAATGCACAGTCCAGCATACCTTCCCTGAAAGAAACAATATAGTTCAGTGGTCAAAAGTCAAAACCTTCTAATGCTTCAAGGCTTCTAATGATAATATTTTTGTTATTCAAGGCTTCTAATGCTCCAGGCCATAACTATCCCGGTACACGGTTGACTTTTTCTTCTTCTTATCAACTTTTTTTTGTTTGTAGTTGGTAAACTTGTTCCTTTGGAAAATGATTTTGTTATGTAGCATCAAACTAGAACAAAGAGACCAACTCTCGTTTTTTGTTGTTGTTGTTATGTTTGTATAATCAGGGACCTTAAGTCTAAGCCAAGTTGGTCTAGATGATCTTATATATTGATTTTAGAAGTTGAAGTTAATCCAAGGTTGCAATGGTAAAATATGCCAAATGTGACAAATAATCCAATAACTAGAAAACTTCTAGTTCTAGTGATGATAGTAACACAGTAGATGCAATGTTTCTCTTTTGTCAATCCATATTCATTTCGCATTTATCAAACAGTACGACGGAGTTAACCCATGCCATTATAGGTAGATCCGCAGATACAGCAACTGAAATTCATGCCTTAACAACCTAGAAGAACAATAGAGATCAGACAAAGTGAATTTTTAAGTGCTTCGTAGGTCTTTCTTTATAGGCTCTATCAAATAACGTATCTGCGTCTCTTACTTAATTTGCTGCTCTGTTTAACTAAGGATTTGGTTGTCCCAAGTCTATCTTACTTTCACAGAGGCATATTTTCTAGAAAAAAAAAAAAAAAACTCTTTACTAGTGCCTTCCAACGAGACTTGATCTGAAGTGATGGGTTGAAATAAATTTGGAACATAAGTCAAAGATATTTGAACACCATGGCAATGTCATAGAAAGATTATACATCAAAAGATTAAAAAAAAGGATAAACAAGTAGAGTCTGGAAATGTGTCAACAACACCAGAATTTGCAGCAGAAAGAAACAGAGCAAGGCCGAGGGAGAAACCATGAGGATCACAAGAATCAAGAGGGCAGAAACCACTTAGCATCCTTGATGTTTGAGCCATCGAAAATGGGGAAGTGTTTGAAGGTCTTTGTTGTAAGACTGAACACGCAGATCTCGATGGATGGAGACTTGTGGTGGAAGATATGATCAGCACGGGTGAAATAGATGGAGTTAGGCTCAATACCAAGGGTATGGTCAGCAGGCACGGTGATCCCCAAATCCAAAAAGAGGGCCTCATCACCTAGAGAATGTACCTCAACAAGCAAGGTGTTAATGGTATTCGGGTCGAGATCTTTAGGATCCCTCTTGTACAGGTGGAACATCCTACCCATTCCAGAGTTTAACATGTAAGTTTCGACATACAAAACCTCACCAGATCTTGTAACAGCAATTCTTGCGGTAGATTTGTGGATCTGATATTTCCTGATTCTTTCACGTTCATCCTTTCCCAGAGGTGGCAGCCACATTGGATGCCTATGGTTCACGGACACATCAGTGAATCCATCGTGTCCTCCAGACAAATCCAAGTGTCGTATGAAATTACGGCTGGAAAAGATGTAAAGATTGTAACCTGTAAGTAGCATATCTCTGAGGCCTTGTAAATCCATGCGAACACCGACCCGTGTTGGAATCTCGCGGTAATGATCATCCCCTTTCTTGCAAAAGGCGAGGTACTCGTTATATTCGAATCGCCACAAGACAACGTAGTCTCCTTTCTTGTCGTCTACCCACAAAAAACCTCTCACGTCCTCGGCAGTCTGAGGACTCCCAAAACATGAAAAAGTACACATTTTTACATTCCTGATTTTATCTTCGCCTAGTCGCTCAAGCTTAAAAATGGTACCCTTGAATGTTTCTAGTGCTGGAAGTTCGATCCTCTCCTCGCTAAACACATCTATAATATAGAGTTTCAATCGAGGATCTATCACCAGAAACCACTTACCCGAGCTTGCCAGAAACCGATACCCTGAAAGGTCACTCTTCGTCTCGTAAACCATATCATCGGCTGGGTTGTACACACGACAACCACCCTTTTCTAGAGACAGCATCAGCAACGGAGATCCAAATTTTGGCTGCAGAATCAAAGTTGAACGGACGGCCTTTGAAGACTGAAGATCCGGACTACTCGACGGTCGTTTCAGCGTAGATATCTCCATTATCCGGAGGGATGGATTACTCTCTCGTCTGCTCATTTTTTTTTTTTTCCTCCTTTTCTAGACTCGACTTCCGATAAGATTGAGAAAGCGTCAAGTTGCGGATATATACAGATTACCAAGCCCAATAACGGAAAGAAAAATATAACTTTGACGGGTCTGTGGCCCAATATATCTTCATCATGGATCATAGCCCTGGGCGTTCGGGGCCCGTTCGGGTTCGGACCGGGTTTCTCCGGTTTTCGTGTTTAGCCTTCTAAAGCCCATTCGGGTATACATATATTTTCGGGCGGGTTTGGATTCGGGCCGGGTTTATCGGGTTCGAGTTCGGTTTTATTTCGGGTTCTTAACAACCGTAGTAACCAATAAAATCTTAAACAAAAACCGAAATTTTTATGTAATTTCGCCAAAATCATCATCCAAATATAAGCAAGTAGTAGATAAACTATTTGTAGCTTTGTGGAGAACACACAAACTAGACGTTAAAAAATATTAAGAGGAAATTAATAATTTTTAAATACATAAAGCTATATGCTGTAGTAATATAGTTATAACATTACAATTTTTCGTGGCATAGTGGTGATAGTGGGTTCTCGAGATGTTTACAACCCGAGTTCGAATGCCGCAGACATTTTGTTTTCTCTTTTTTCTTTTGTTTTGTAGGTTTCTTACTTTTAATTCACCATTTTCTTATGTAACTAAGCCAAAATACCTTAGATCTATTGTTATTATACAGATTTTTAACAAAAAAATAATGTTTTAGGTAAAAATAAAAGAATGAAATCGGATATACAATCGTGATAATCGGGTTTACAATTGTGACGATCGGGTTTTCGGGTACGGGCCTAACGGGCCGGGTTCGGGTTTGGGCTTCGGGTACGGGTTTTTTGCCCAGTGCTAATGGATCATAAGAATCATAAGAACTGATGATGGCATTATCTTGTCTCAAACCCATTATGCTGAAAAGATACTTGATCGATTCAAGCATTACTCACATGGAAAGGCAAAATTCTATAGATTCTAAAATTATGTCAAAGTGAGAAATTTTGTAATCAAAAGTATTAAACAAGAGGGAAAACAAAAAAGAAGTGAGAGAATAAATCTACCTTGTTGATTTTGAGACTTAGCAAGATGTATATAATGGAGAAAGTGGCAAGAGCAAATAACAGAGCTGCTTGTTGTGAGTCTCCACTCTCGACTACTTCTAGTCCTGAACAACCAATAGAAAATGTTCTGAGATGGATGACGTTTTACTTGGTTGAGTTGAATGGTTAAGTGGAAAGCCATTTCTTTGAGGCTTGAGCTTCTATATTTCGAATTGATTACGCTGCTCAGATAGGCACAATGAATAAGAACCACTGTATGAACCAAACATTTTTTGAACTAAAAAAACTTTTATTATTCCCTGTGTTCTAATGTGATGGAAGAAATGTGTTTGGAAAAGCACTATACGACCTAAGTATGAGGAGCTAATCTTTACAAGTAAAGATTTTGTACAAGATAACGAAATGTTAGAAATCATCAGCGCGGTGGATCTCTCCCATTAGAATGCGGTTGCTAGTGACTTTAAAACCGAGAAGAGCAGGATCTATCTGTCTCCCTTTCTTCCCTTTCTTCTTCCCACCGCCACCTTTGCTTCCTTCGGTTGTATCAGATGACTCTACCGCCACCTTCTTCATGTTATTACTCTTCTTCAACATCTCACTGAATGACGGTTCTGACGCCAACCCTTTGTTTCCTGCTGCTCCTGATTCCCGTCTCACACCTCCTGATGATATTTGTATACAGAATGAGTCTCATTTTCAATACATAATGCCTAAAAAGACACTAAAGCCCTTGAGATAATATACCTTCAACCCCACTATAAGAACTTGCTGTCCTGCTAGCTGCGTCAGACATACGCTCGAGCAATCCCTCATGTGATGATGAAGAATGGGATGAGGGAGGCCTTTTTAACAAAACTGATTCCTGCCCATGTGATGGCACTACCAACCTACAAACAATCACTTCAAGATTTCATCGGCAGGAATATAAAGGTTTCAAAAGGCTTTACTTATCCAATCTGCTGGTGCTGAATGTCAGAATACAAAATTACCTATCTTTCCTTCTATCTTCTCCAACCAAGTTGTCACTGTATTGGTCTGCAGCAACAGAATATCAGGATAAGCCTTCATAATAACAAAGCAAAAATCAATCTTCCAAAACATGAATTCAGAGAAAACCAAATCTTAAATGATGCAATTACTCTAGAAGATTAATATGTATATACCAGAGATATTGAAAGAAGACTGTCGTTGGCCAAGCGTAACAACAGGAAGCTCCCCTTGAACCAGAGAGTCTAATACTGCTTGCTTGCCCATTCTGTCTTGGGATTCAAATAAAATCTTCCTTCCCATTCCCTCATTTTTAAGTGGCACACTGTTCCAATTTTTAGTGTCATTTGTGTCCTTGTTCATAGAGAACATATTATTGAAGGCTTGAGCTTCATTCTGAGTGGACCGCCCACCATCGATAATTCCAGATAGCAAGGAACTATTACGGTGCAATGGTCCCATATTATTCCTATCTCCTGGCATTCTGTTGACCTGTTCATCCGATAATGAACGAGCCCCAAAGGAAGATGAAGCATTTAGATTACCAACATGGTCTGAAAGGCCGCCAAGTGTTTGAATCTCTGGGGTAAGGCCTGATGGAGCCATCCTGTCACAAGTATCCCCAAGTTTCATGCTTAGTGACTCAGTAGATTGATGGCCGGGTCTCTGGTGGAGCAACTCCATAAAGAGCTGCTTTGACTTGTCGTTTGTAGATCCACCTACCATCCATGCGTTGGAATCATCACCCTGCCTCCTAATTTCAGACCTCATTTTATGATGTTCAGTATCCATATTTGATCTACGAAATTGAGATTCAGCCCAGTCACCAGCTAGCTGTGTATCAGCTCCAGACCAGCGACCTTCAGTTGGTTCCAATTGTGAAAAATGTGGTTCACCTAATTGTATGCGGGGATTCTGATGGTTAAAACCCAGTGTGGAATTTCCCAATCTACCAGAAGATTGCATGTGGGGAGTAGCATCCCGCAACTCCAGACCCTGAGAGAGACCAAGACCATTTACTGCATCCAGATTCATCCCCGATGCTGATCGCTCAAATGGAAGACCGTGTTCGAATAATTCTTGTCGAAGTTGTTGCTGATATGAAAGGTTCCGCTCAAGTTGACCAAATTGATCCTCAAAGGGTGGCCTCTGCTGCTGTTGATGAAACTCTAATGGTCTAAATCCTGCAGAAGAGCGCGACCGGTGGATCCCAGAATGACTTCTTAGAAGCTGATCATTATGGTCAGACGGCCACAGAGGGTCAATATGTCTCTGTTCCTCCAATAATGTATCGTGCCTCACTCCATTAGCCAATTGCATAAGCTGCTCTTGCTGCAGTAGCTGGTACTCCAAAGACCGGATTGGATCAGATTGCAGTTGTCCATGTTGTGATTGCATTTGTCCATATTGAGATTGCTTTTGCGTTGAAAGTAGCTGTTCAAGTAACTCCCTTTGGTGGCCTTCATATAACAACTGCCCAAAATTTCCTGCAGCAAGTTGCTCAATGTATGGTGCGAAATTTTGTGACGGATGGCCAGAACTGTTCTGCAATTCATTCATCAGCTGCTGCTCTAACAACATCTGGTCAACATTATTGGACCGAAGGAAGTCATGTGACTGCCCAAACCTTGAATCCGGAGTCTGTCCTTGTAAAATCTGTTGAAAATGTAACTGTCGAGCATGGGACTGTTGTTGCTCCTGTAAGAGCTTCTGATGTAACTGATGTTCTTGTTGCAGCTGATGCTGTTGCAACTGAATCTTCTGCTGTTGTTGCAACTGAATTTTCTGCTGTTGTTGCAACTGAATCTTCTGCTGTTGTTGCAACTGAATTTTTTGTTGTTGCTGCAACTGGAAAGTTATTAACTGCTCCATATCCTGAGCTTGATCACCTATATGTAACTGTGATAGCATATCCCGATTCTGGAATTGCAGTTGCTGATGTTGATTTGATGTAAGTTGATCCCCATGGTTAAAGAAGTTGGATTCATGTTCAAACTGCGACATCCGGTTAGCAGCCAGACTATCAAGGGACTTGCTGGGGTCAATTTGTGTATTTCTTCGGGAATTAATGAGACGATTATCTACTGAACCAGTAAGCTCCTCCATTGCACCATAAGACTTGTTTAATGACTGGTTAACTGGTGCACTACCACTCTCTAGCTCAGACCACAAAACACCAAACGGGTGCAGCTTATTCTCATTCTGATTACGTGTAGCAGCAGCCTTAGTTGAATCAACAGGAACAGCAGACTGGGCAGAAAATTCCATTAAAGCATCATGCATACTTGTCGAAGATTTTACCGATGATGCATAACCAGAACCTCCAGCTCTTCCTGGGAATACAATTTCTGATTTAGAAAAGAAGTACAAAAAAATTGATTAGAGATGATGAACACAAAAGAAATTAATACGATAAGAAAAGCTTCTAAACAAGTATATTAAACCCAAAGAAAGACATTTCTTCTCCCACCAATGCACACAAATGAGAAAAGGTTAACAGCATAACCAACCTTCATCCTGAGCAGAGAAGTTCAAGAAACTTCGATCCTCGGCAAGTGGCTGAGCTGAGGAGTTGTTATACACAGAAAACGAACGAGACACACCAGTCATAGAGGATGAATCATCTGCTAGAGGTGCAATTGATAAACCAGCCTCTGAATTTGCTTTTAAACTAGTATCTTCTAACTCACTCTTTTGGTCACTACTAGGGACATGAACACTTTCTGTCTTTAAATATGACATGACCCTCCCTAGATCTTGAAAAGGAGTTCCTTCTGGAGCATTTGCCAAACGTACTTGTAGGTCTGTCCCAAAAAACCCTTGTTCAAACCATGAAATAATGTCAGAACCAATGAACGGTCCCTGAATTACTCCTTGAGGATCAATATACAAGAACAAAAACTCCTCAGGTTGCATAGACCCTTCTGCGTGATTCACTTCAATATCTGGTTGCTGCAGCTTGCCTGTATAATCTTGCTCGAAAGAAGCTACAGCGGACTCGCTCCCATCCAACACAGAGGATTTACTAAAAGCAGATCTAACCGTTTCAGGACTTCCATGAGAAAGTTGACAACCATCTCTAACAGATCCATAACTTTCAGAAGCCACTGAATTCAATCTTGAGACGCTTGATGTACCTCCCAGACTACCAAGTAATCCTACAATAATAGTTATTCGCCTTTTATTCAGAATATATAGGACAATTAAAAATCCGGCAAACTCATTACAATACATGGTATTAAAGACCTAGTTAATAAGTATCACACACGTACCAGAATCATTATTATTGTCACCATTAACAACCCCTAGCAAAGTACCATCCAATTTTGTTTCACCTGAGTCAGGTATCCAAAAGACCACGGTCAGAATATTATGCTAGGTGAAAAGATAGAGGCCAAGCAGCTAAAGACAAAACAACATACCTAAGCTGTTTCTACCTGAGGATTCTTCTTCAGATGGAGTGTGAACTTCGCTACTAATGATTCTTCCCTTCCATATGCCGTTAAGACGTGCCTGATAGATAAGATACCCATCAACAAACTCAGGAAAAGCCAGTTACGAAAAAGAAATAAAGAATCAATGACACACTCATGAAAAGGGTAATAGAAGCCAGTTCTCAGTGCCAGTGGGGGCCATACCTCTTCTTCGGCATCAGGTGCAATAAAAGCAAGAGGATTGATTAAAGCCACTTGAGTAATGGAGGCAACTTCCTGCATCTCAGTCGGTATCCTACCTAGGGAAGAATCAGCCTTTTGTTTTCTATACATGTCAAGCAACTTACCCCTTGGATACCGAAACAGAGAGGCAGAAGTGCACTGGTCAACAGGAATACTTTCATTTCCTAAGAAAGTACATGCACCAGCACCAATTAAGGAGGTT